AAGTGCAGGCTAAAGGAAGGTTGCAATTCCACAACCGGGGGGTCATCAGGAGGAAGCAACAGCCAGAAGTGAGTGGTTTGAAGCAAATAAGGGTCTCCCAGAATTCAAAATTTCCTTTACAAGCAATGTGCACCTGGCTTAATCCTATGGTTTAAGTGTGTTTTCTAATATTTTAATGCTGCTTGCTTTTCATGAGTAACCAAAAAGCTGAATTGCCAGCATTAGCTTTTGTAGCTTAACTGACCATGTTACAATTATGGATTTTGTTTCCTTATCTAGTTACTTTCAGTCTGAATGACATTTCTCTGACAGGTCCCTGGACACCTCCATCAGAGACTAGGGACACCTGACAAGATATACATTCATGACATGCTGTAGCCTCTGCCCTCTCTAGTGACACACAATAGCTGGCTGTATGTGGACTCACAGTCTGCTGAAAGGAAATGGGTTATTTAAAGCCATTTTCAGCCAGTCTGACTAATCTTTTAGCTCTGCACTTCAAGGATCAAGTAGAGAGTCACAAGGTCAATCCAACTTGAGCATGGAGCACTATATGAGGGCAAAACAGTTAACATTATTTGAGGTCTTCTGCCATCACCCTGAATATCTAAATCACCTCCAAAATGAAACATGGAAGGGTGGTTTTGTTTTTGAAAAGTGTACATTGAAGACGCGAAGACCATATTACCTTACCTTACTTTTTTTTTTTTTAGCTCATAGTCTTACAGTGAGCATGAGAGAAAAATATAATGGCAACCTATTTCTTTGTCTTATTCTTCTGTTTCTCATAAAAAAGCAATCTGAAGTCTCTTTTTATTTTTTCCTTATATACTGCTAGCAGTGAATTTTGGAACAAATTCAGTTCTGCTTTGTAATTTCAGACCAAAAGATAATTTAGAATGTAAAATAACCACAATAGGACTAGGTATCTTATAGGTCTGTTGCAAAGAGAATGTTAGTCACTTGAAAACGTACTGGGTTTCCAGTCTAATTATACGACAGTTTTGTAAAAAAAAGTGAAATGTATGAGTTTACTAGAACCTTATTTAAGCAAAACCCTGAAGCACATGAAGTATTTAAAATATTGAGACTGAATGTGCTTAAGTGCTTTGCTGTATTCAAGTCATAGTGATTATTATAATAATTATTGTATGCTCAGTCATATCCTATCAGTGCATACATTTAACGGTTATTGAATGAATAAATTAATAACATTTGCATTGAGAAAGAAAATATAATTAGCTTTAATATAGGGAAAACAAATTTTACTGCAAAATACTCCATCCCTCCCCATGTAACAAAGTTAGTATAACCACTGGTATAGGGTATGTTTTTTCTATGCATATTCCTTTATATGTTTAATAATAATTGGCAGAAAACCTAACCTGTGAGAGGATTTGGAAATTTGGAGTGTTTGTGTTTTGAGTCTGGTTTTTTTCTTTTTTTTTTTTTTGGGGGGGGGGGTGGGGGAGGTTGAGGGTGTTTTTGGGTTTTAGGTTTGTTTTTTTTTTTGGTTGGTTAGTTTTACAGGGTAGTTCTGGCAGGGTGTGGTGTGGGGGAGTGTTGTCTGTTTTTGCAAAAGTGCTTTGGGAAAATAACTCAACCAGGAAACAGGCAAGTTTTCAAAAAAAATGTTCATCCCATTTTGCCTCTTGGTCTGAGCATCCAGGCTTCACAGGGCTTGCACTATCCCTCTATTTTTATAGTTGCTGTGGCCCCCAACCCTTTCAGCCTGGAACTCAGAATCATTGAGATCCCAAATCTCATGCACACATCGCAGGCTCAGTGCTGGAAAATGTGTAACTTTCTGGTGGAAATTGATTCCTTGTGCTTGAGAACAATTTTTCCCATGCCGCGAACTTCCCTCTCAATTAGCTTCCAAGACTGTCTTAAACCTTGAAATTGACTATTATTACAAACTTGTAGAGGCAGGGAAAGGAAATGCCTTTTAATTGTAACTTTAAGATGTTCTAATTTCAATTCATCTTTCAAATACTTCCCCAAGTTTCTCATGTGATCAGATTACTATTTTGACTTTTAACAGTGACAACACTGGGACACGAAACACCTTTTGTCTTCTTTTTTTTTTGTTTTCCTGAGCATTCATAGATTAGGTAAACACTGTAAATTCTTTTAGTTATTTAATGAATTATTTAGTTAGTGATATACAAGACTATGAAGCACATCTGGGTTTGCTTTCACTAGCATACTTTTTAAAAGTCTCAGTTACTTATTGTTTTCTTAAATAATTAGTCTTTAGTGGCAAGTTAGAAGTCAAGAACTTAAAATTCACTTACAAGCAGGTTATTTAAAATACTAATTTTGAAGCTGCCATTTAACAGTTAGTTGATAATATTCTCTTCTTTCCTTAGACCTATTCCCTAATAAATTAATGGCCAATACATAAAATACTGTGGCACTTCTTACTAGCATATTATACAAAAAATTGCGAGCATATGTATGTTTGACGTTGTATTAAGAAACTGTAAGATTCTCAGTAGTATTTATGGTCAATATCAATGTACTTGGTGTTATGTTGGTGTGCTTTATAAAACTGGAAAAGACTACAAGATTGTTGTATGTTGAAATCTCAGTTTTCTACAATACATCATGCTTAAAAACTAGTTTTATTTGCAAATGTATCAGTCCAATTAATCTCAAGTAGGAAAAATTCACAATCGAGAAACAGCAATTGCAAAAAAGACACATCTATGATATCATCTTGATTTTCCATAGTATATTTTCACACAAGAATAATTTTAGATTTAGATAAGATAACCATAATGCAAAGTTACCTATAAACTAAATATACATTGTTTTCTTCTGCTGCATCAGTAATATGAACTTCTCTTGAGTATGTATGGTCTTCTAGCTTTGTTCACATGTAGCTGCCGTTTCAGAATATAGGGATTTTTTCTCTTCATTATTTCCTTTTCTTGGCTTGAGTTCTCTAGATCAAAACCATCTTGCTGAAGTAACTGTAGGATGCAACAAGAGACTTTATGTTATCAACTTTTTTTTTTGGTAATGAAGATTATAAACTCCTAGAAATTTTTAAAAAATACTTTAATGCATGCCACCAAGAAAAATCTCTACTACAATAGTTGCAGGCTTTAAAAAACAAAAAAAAAACAAAACAAAACAAAACAAACAAACAAACAAAAAAACACAAAAACAAACAAACAAAAAAAAACCAAACAAACCCACCCAAAACCACCACAAAAAACCCCAACCAAACCAAACAAACAAACAAACAAACACCACAAAAAACCAAAGGCAAGACATAAAACTTAGATCAGGCTAAAGATCAGCTGAGCCCTACAGAGATGATATTTAAATTCCACTGAAACAAATGAGATCATTAGTTTTGACTACAGGGAAAAGCTGGTATAAAAGCTCCTTGCACTACAATTCAAGTTGACTGAAAACTTCCTAATGATTGTCACTCTGTAGTCACTCATTTAAGCTAAACACCTGCACTGCTTTTTTGTTTAAGCTTTTGAGTAATATTTTAATCTGCAACTTCCTACAGCCAAAAAATCAAAATGTGTAATAAACAAATTAGAAATTAAATAAAGCACAAGAAGCCAAATTTTTGTAATCAAACTTGTATATACAATTGGATTTTTAGTTTTACTTGGGAGTTCTCAGAGGTGTTGCAGTCTGTTGCATGAACTGTCCCAGCAAATACGAGGATTTAGAATAAACCTGTTATATACAGAGCTTTCTCCAGTAGACTGACTATGAACCTGAAATAGCTGAAGAAATATGGTTTACTGGAAAGTAAGTAGTAACACCGAGATATCTTTTTTAGCTACACAAAGCAGCTTTTAGTGTATTATTTAACAATGCAAGAGGATTGTGCCTAGTGTGCTTCTGTCTGATCACTGCACTACAACAAATATCACAGATGGACTACAAACAATCCCTATTCAAGAGCAATAATTTTCATACAGTCACAATGTCAACTTCCAGGGCCCTCTTTAGGTGCAGGGAAACAAAAAGCAAGAACTATCTTGCTGCCAGTTTCCTAAAAGTGATATGAAACCCAGAGTACCTAGTAAATGGTAGGTACACATGGGCATCTGTCCATGCATTTTGAATCCAGTTTGCCTTAGGGTCTTAAAACAAAAACACTGACTCCATCTATTTATGCCTCAATAAATCTGAGAAACTTCACAACTGTTAAGCAGGTGTATTAATTATGTGTTCTGGCATAGAGATCACTTTCATGTGTTTGTTTCATTATCTGGAACGGCTACATAGAGTGGAGAGAGTATCCAGCTAAGAAAAGTTCTCATTTATCCACGGGTTGTTTTACGAAAAATACACTCAGACTGCACTAATTCTCAACTCTTATTAAAAAAGGAATATTAGACATGTGACGGGGGTCAGATGGATATGGACTTTACAACACCACTAAAAATAGAGCCAGAGAGTTAAAAGAAGTTAAACATGCATTTGTGACAGGTTTCTTTACCTCCCAATGCTGAAAGGCTCTGCTGTGGCAAACTTTCTGGAGTTGATATACTGTCAACATTGCTTCCAAGCTGAAGCCATCCAGAGCTGAGGGAAACTGTCTTCCTGAAACAAGATCCTCTTCATCTACCTCTACTGTCTCTCCCACTTGGTTGTTTAGGTTGTTGACAAGATTGCAGACATTTAGCAGGGTCATTTTCCAGTAAGGAAGTTTTGCTCTGTTAATCTGAAAATAAAAATACCCACTATATAATGTGTTTTGGCTCTTAGTAATCATGTGCAACATTCAAACATTTTGTTAGGATCGAGTTTGTGTTTCTGAAGTACTTTTCATATGGTCAACTTTTAGACAATAATTATAGAGTGCTGAACTTAGGACAGCTCATTTATTATGCACACCAATTCTGCTTCCCCACAGCCTTACCCCCCAGGTAGACAAACACGATGAAAAAACCAAACTGCTACCAAACCAGAATGACAGCATTTCATAGCCATTCTGCACAGGTGCAAACAAAACATAGATGGAAATTAATATAATATAAATTCACAGGTGTAAATAAGGACAATGAATCAAGCCCACTGGATAAATTCCCAGTTTTGGAATGCAAACTGGATGCCTGTGGTTAACTAGATGCTCCTCCCCAGTTCAGAACAAATACCAATCATTTCAAAATTCCCTGAGAAAAAAAAACAGAGTGCCTTAGCACAATCTGTCTGATGAGGCTGTGTCTGAAGTTACGGAGTCCGTAAACCCCAGGAGTTTTGGATGCTGGGGAGTCAAGAGCCTGGGACATGTTAATTTAAGCTACAGGCTTAGAGGAAGATGGAGCAAACGTAAAACAGATCTGTGCAAACAAAGTATTCCTGATTGGGTAACTAGACTGAAAAACTGCAAACAACTATATTTAGGTGGTCCACGACGAACCTGCTCAGAGATGTTACAGAAAGATAGAAATAAAGAAATTTCATCATGGTTTTGTCTCAAATTTTGCTTGTTCCAGTATCTTACATTATTTATGAGCTATTTAACTTTTCAATCCTTTTAAAAAATTTAGGGAACCTTAAATTTACTTTTCTACTGGTATTGTTCTTTCCATGCAGTTGTGGCAGTTGTCTTCTTCCATTTTCGTTATCAATAGGAAAAAAAGTAAATGAAAAGTGTATTCCTATCTCATTCGCTGCTTTTCATGTCTTTGCCACTTTCTCGGTTCTCCCACTATTAATTTTTTCTTTCATACTGTATTCCTTTTGGTGGTTAGTATAGAAATTAGTTTCCTTAAACTACCATTGGTGACACAGCAATCTCCAATCAAAAGTCAAATAGCAAATTCCTATTTATTAGTGGCAAGGACTGCCTTGCACATTAGGATTAGATTTTACCAATGAACTGAAATGTGGTTGCTTCCTTTCTTGAATGTACTAAGTTAAATATAGGTATTACACTAACACAGACATTGCCTTTTACATACTTGACAGCACTAATTAAGAGTGTGAATGCAGTGCTTACTTAGCTGTACATCAGGTAATCATATAACCTGTTTCTTTAAAACACCTGCCTAACAAAGGGGCATTGTATGCAAATTTATTTATAAATATAAATATATTTATAAATAATTTATATTCGCTACACTTTCCTATTTTTTGAGGGAAAAGAAAGAAAATGGAGAGGAATGAGGAAGAAACAAGAACAGCTGGCATCACTATTAGCAACAGATACAAAAAAATTCCCTTTTGGCCATGATCATTACTCCAATATACCTCTGTCATACACATGGCATTCAAAATGAGAATGATTTAGCCCCTTAATAGAACCACAGATTCCTGACATGGTTCAGAAAAAATAAGTAAAGAGTATTTTGTTTTGAAGATAAGAAGAAAACAAATCCCAAATCTTATTTGGAAGCTTGTAATTGGTTCTGCACTGTTCACTTAGAGCTCATCTGTTGTCCCATCTAAATGCTCAAGTTAGTCTATCAAATGATTTGAAAAGTTATGACAGGTTCAAATAAAATTAATCTCTCTGCAGAATATCTGATTTTATTAACAGAAGATAAACTAGGGAAAAGTGTCCACTGCAATTTCAAAATGTTTTTCAGTCTGTTTTAAAATATTTGTGAAATATAAAAATATGGAGCTTTCTACAGCAATTGAGGAGGCTTTTCCAGTGCACTTTTCTCTCTTGGGTATACAAAAGAAATGCAAGCTACCACTGTAACAGCTAAATTACAATGGAGCATAAAATTTAGAAGCAGTGCTTCATGAGCAAAAGAGACTTCTGAGCTATAAAAGAACCAAAAATCCCAGTGGATGGGAACAAAAGAGAAGAGTAAAGGATAGGGAAATTTGTTATGCCTTCTTGCACAATATATAGAGTCTTTTTGATCTAAAGTTACTACTTTGTGTCAGCCTGATGCATGTCTATGTTTAAAGGAATTTTACCCTGTGTATTAGTAAAATACTTGAAGAGCAGACTTCATTAGGTGAAATTGGTCTTTTGTGATACTTATGAGGTTAGGAGGAAACAATTTTTCGGCACCATCTGCAAGTATACTTTGTTTGTGATGAGAGTCTCATTCCTATTAATACCACGCATATATCACCTCGAAGTATTTTTACTTGGGTACACCTGCTTCTGACTTATCTTGCTACCAGCTCATGAAGTCAGACTATGAACAATTAAGAACTTCACTCAAGAGTAAACTTTGGGGTTTTTTTTAACTGAATATGGAGTTTTCCAGGTTATGTCCAATCACCAAACAGAGTGATCATGTTACTTTTCTCCTTCACTATTACAGCAAGCATGAAAATCAGATAGTTTTGTTTTTTAAGTTATGGAAAATGACTGAGGCAGTTATCCTAAAGGTATATATAAAAACAAAGTTTAAGATGGTAATAATCCAAATGTTCAGGTTAATTTCCAATATGTGATATATTTTCCACACAGGCCTAAGCAATAACTACTACAGTAGCTCAAGAAATGTTTTGGAAAATACCTACACAAGAGAACAAGGAACCCTTATCTGCCAAGATGGAACTAATTTTTTAAGATTAACTTGAAAAATATCTGAGAATGATCTGAAGGAACAAAAGAAACTGCAGAATGAACAAGAATTTAAAAGGTATTAACGCTGAAGTGAATGTGAAGTGCGCATTTCCATTGTTTAACATGCTTCTGAAGTAAGACTCAAATATATCATTTCCCACATATCATGTATCTTGAAAGAGAATTTTAAATCGTATCAGAAACAGAAATGAGCTTGAGAACATTTTGATCTTTAACAAGTTTGTCCTATGCAAGATAAAAGATTCCCAAGTTATAATTTGTATGATATTTTATTTCCATTTACGTTTGAATGATACTCCTGATAGTTTGCTTAAGAAACTTCTTTTATTGTAATGCATACCTCCTAAATTCTATTGTTTTCTAGAAAAACAATTATCTGGTTTTTAAATTCCTTTCTTTATGTAATAAAAGCAGATAAAAAACAAAGTCATAATCAAGTAAAAAACTCAAGCTTGTGTAGGATCTCTATGGTTCCTTTCCAGATTAGTAGTTGAATTTTGTTCAGATTGTAGCCATAGACATAATAAAAAATATTCTCTATGTTCAATCAGATATAGTATTGAGTTCTGTTAGAGCAGAAGTTCTTCCATGGTGTATACTTATGCCTGTAAACCTAATGAATTTTTATGTGATGACTGAGTAAGGAAGTCAGTAACTCCTAGGCATCTCTTCTGACAAGGAGGTAAACTCTCTGGGCAAATACAGTCAGAAATAGGCATCCTAAAACAACGAAAAGCTCAGAGGGTCCAAAACTTCAGAAAATTAGTGTCAGGTGGGATCCCAAAGGTGGAGTATATTCTGGTGATGATATACTCTTCAAGGAAATTTTTTTCCCACTCTAATTAACATGGGGTGGAATACAATTAACAAATTAACTCAATCATTTTTGAGTTCAGGACATTCTTCATGGAAGTACTGCTCTCAGGCAATCATTTGGGAAGCTGGGAATAGAGTTTTCTATTGGATATGAAACAAAGACAGGAGGTAACTGCCCACGTATTTGTGACATGTCATTTTACCAGATCAGTTTTGTCATTTTACCAGATCTTCCAAATGGCTTTTTGGATTTTATCTTAGAGAAAAGCCAGATAAAGCATTTTGAATTTGCTCCTTCTATCTTCTTTAAGATGTAACAGCAAGGAAGGGTGATTAACTTTATTAAATGTCTTCATCTTTAAGGATGGAGAGTGATTCACCATATGGATGACTTTAAAGAGCATCTTGAAGAAGGGTAGCAGACACTGGACAGCAGTTTGTGAAGTCAGAGGCATACAGCAACTCTTCCTCTAATACTGGATAAACTACTGAATGTTGCAAAAGGTATGTGTTTAAGCCCTAGCAGTAGTCTTAATGATATATTTCACAAGTGCCTACTTAGGCAGATTTTTTTTCTGTCAAACATTAAACCCAGAAGTGATGATCCACTTTGCTGCACTTTTAGATCTGAGCTTTAGTAAACAATATTTTTTTTCCATCTTAAAGCAGTTTAAATTGTCAGGATTTCCTTTGCTGCTTATTACAAAATCAGTGTCAAAGACAGTTAATGCAATTGAGCAGTAATTGTCCTCAACTGGAACCAGATCTCTGGCACAACACGAGACAGCTATTACACAGTTAGTAGAGGACAACTGAAAAAATAATTAATTTCAGTAATGAACGTAATAGTGGTATGTCTCTTGTAGAAGAGTTGATGGATACTTTTAAGTAGTTCCCCCATGCCTTATTTGATGCCAAGAGACAATGTGTATTGTCTAAAATAATGAATTTTAGATGGTAATTTAAGACAATATAATGCAGAATTAAAGCAGTGTCTCCAACATGAATTGACTGCTTCTGTCAACGTCACGTATCACTTGATTGGTATTAAATACCATAAAGAAATTGAATAGCAAGCTACATGGCATGAAAAACCATGAGACTATTATGGCAAACATCATTACATTATCAACTGGAGCAATATATTTGTGCATTTTGAGTTACCTGAGCTGTGGTGAGAGGGAGGAAAAGTGGAGGTTATGTTCACAGATCCACTAAAGCCAGCAGCAGAAATACCAATAGCTGCAGGTTTTCCTTCCAGGGCATACTATGCTTTGCCATACATAGAAAATACTGTTTTTATCAACCTCTTACATTTAAATATGCCACAGAAAAAGAGTAGCTATTAAATTTTTCTGTATCTTAAAAAAGTGAGTAGCAAACACATTTATTTGTCATCTTAGGTTAATTACCATGACATTAAAGAGCATAGAAACCTAAGAACTGCCAGACCAGATTAAAAAAAATATATTTTCTGGCCTCATTTCTTCTTTTAATCTATTCAATAATTCTGTGGAAAAGCTCACAAATAAGCAAATACAGTAAATGTGGAAGTTTTCCTAGAAGGTTTTGTACTTAACCTTCCACTAGTCATTGGCTTATGAACCTCTCATTTTATTGTCTACTAAATTTAAGCACCACTTGAACTTCATTGGAACAATAAATAAAAATATTCACCCTTAAACCTATGGCACTTGTTTCAGGGTTTATTCTTTAATATATTGCTGAAGGTATGTCAGACATATATTTCTTAGATCATCTGTGGAAAATAATAGGGTTAAGAAATTATTTGTCTAACAACCTGTTCAACACATATGAGCAACACTTGCTGCTTCACCTTGTCAATATGAGGTTAAAACTGATTTTTTTATCTATCTGTACTAAATAACATGTAGATCATTCACAGTCTGGCAACTTGTCAAGGAAATGCCATCTATCAGGTTAATATTTTCACAGTCATGTCCCCATGTTCCTGTACTAATACTATGACTAAATTCTTAAATCAAAATCAGCATATGTATTAACAATTTTTGCTTTGCAACTGTTCTAATTTTATATGTATATAGCAAAAGTTCCGCATAAAAATAGCACTTACAGATTTGACTCAAGGTTAATTTAGCTTTCATCAGGCATAATCACACTGGAAACACATTTCCTCATATAAATTTACATCTCTGCACATAATACAGTTTTGACAGTTTAATGAAAGTACCAGTCTTACAAGTGAGGAACACATTTACTGTGTCACATCAACACCTTTAAATTTCCTTTGAACTGGAGGAAATCTTGACCAAAGTAAAACCTAACATTGAACTTCTTGGCCTAGATCACAGGTTATTATTTTGTGCAAAGACTTTTGGGTTTGTAATGAGAATTCTTTTGCTCCCTCCCCATCAGCTAAAAGAGGAAAAATAATTACCTTTGATGTGTACATATTGGCCAATAAATCTGCTTCTAATGCCTTCATTTCCTCTTCTGAATCTGGGAATAAACCAGAAACATATGTTTATTATTTGATCATAAATCATGGACATTTCAATTTGGTATACAGAACTTGTATCAATGAATCTTGAAAAACAAACACAATCTAGATAAAACCACAGCAAAATGACCTAGAGGGACAGTGAGGAGTCTTCAGGTAACAGCAACATTATGTTAAAATTGATACTCACTAAATTTTTAAAGCACCATCAAGCTTATTGAAGTAAATGAAACAGTTCACTAATCTCAACTCAGTGGTGGACAGGCCATTGAAGTGCAGTCCTTTCAGTAAAAAAAACCTGCTGCACTATTCTTCATTCAAAATCATTATGATTTTCATAATAATTTTTTTTTACCTCTGCTTTGGGTGAAGAATTTGCATATTTATTTTCAAATAATATTTATTTAAGTAGCTTCTAAGCATTTAGGTGAATGGCAGTTATGATTATCTGATTAATAATCAATAGTCTTGATTATTTTGATTATTCTATCTTGAACTAAGGATATTTTTACTGATAGGAGGGAATTGAGCTTGACCAGTTTGTGATCCAATATCTTGACAGTGCATATACAAAAAGAAAACATTCTGAATGGAAGTCTTGGGATTTTCTTCACTAATTTAATTGACCTTTGATAGTTCAGCAGACTTGCAAGACTTCCGATTTGGTGAAAAGGGTAAAATTATTTCAAAAAAAGAAAACAAGACACACACATTTCTACTTTGTGCTGTAAAGAATCACAACACAAGATCTGGTGCCTTGAAAATGTAGTAGCAATCACAGCTCAAAGAGGAGAAATATACAGAAATCAGTTCTAAGTCTTTATGTGAAACAGGGTTCCACATAGCTTTTAGCTTTCCTGGCATACCAGCAGCCCTAAAACCAAACAATACACTAATATTTCAAACCCAACTAAACCAAGATTTATTCTATATTCATGTAACTCACACCTCACTTTTATTAAAATGATCAATGCTCTTGGTATGTAACACCCTACCACTGAATCTGGGTACAGATTCTGTCTATGCCTTCATTTCAGGGATCATCACCATGTTGTGTCACTACTTTCCCACAATATGAGATTGTAAGAGACCATATACACAGATATGTGCTAATCTGTCATGGATTTCGGTTAGCGTAGAAGCCATTAAAATGTTTATTCACTTTCTTCTGATTTCAAGCCTAAATTATTTCTAATTACAAACTTATTCATGGTTTATATATAAATTCAAGCACTAAAAATGATAAATTTCTATTTGTAATATTTTTTTTAGAGCAGTCACAGCTCTTCCCAGCTTAGATTTTTGGTGGGTGCTTACACAATGATCAGCAAAGATCAGTACAAAATCACTGTGCCTTTTTGGACATAAACCATTCCCCTGGAAATCCCGTAAATGTTTCACTGAAAAATCTATGCCCCAAGTTATAGGACTCTCATTTATTCTTCTCTCTTGTAATAGCCTTGTATTCTCCAGCTCATCAGACCAGCCCTCCTCTGTGCCTGATGTGTTCTCAAGAGAGTACAGTACAGTTTGGATCAGAAGTCTCAATACTTAATGACCTTAATGCTTACCAATAGCTAGAGAGGGCAGCTCCCTTACATATTTTTTTATTTTATTTGTTTCTCATGGGTGAAAAACTTTAGTATCTCACACACACCAAAGGAAGAAAAAAAAAAAAAAAGATTAGATAATGTGATCAAGTCTTTTATTTCCTCAGCAATGGCTGTGCTTTGGTTAAAAGCAGCTTTTAATGGGAATTTGTATTATTTCATAAGCTATTGTATTTTGTATTGTTGCACTGCTTCTCAGTTCTATTATCCGGGTCATCAAAAACTTCTGTGTGTTACACATATCCCATTCCTCTCTAGGGATGCTCCTACTCACCTTTGCATTACCAACACAATACATTCATTTATTATTTTTTGGATTAAGTTATTGTACTGATGTAACTTGCTGTAATACTAATCTACAAACAGTCTTATTTAATACGTAACATTTTTATATCAAATAAGACTGGTTGTAGATCAGTATTATGGCAAGTCACTAGCAACTATTTTCCAACCGAATGCCTTTTTCTTCCTCACAGCAGTAATGGTCGTCAGTTTTACCTGACTTCTTGACCGCTTTGCCACTACCCAAAGTTCAGCTGGCAGCACAAGATCACATCACCTGAATTTCTACCACTGTTACCAACTCCTGTGAACAGGTGAGAAGCACACACAATGATAGCATCATGATTTGTGGTGTCCTGGGTCATGCCTGCTGAGAACAATAAAAGGACTTGTGTCTGGTTAGCACCTGTTTTTTATATTCTATAAAGGATGTAAGATAGCTTCCACACCACTGAGGCTGAAAGGTAGCTGCAGCCATGGAAAGTGGGTAGGTATTAAGAAGCATTTGGATTGAGAAAAGAAGCTTAGAGAACAGCCTAGTCAAAACTGACAGTCTAGTCAAAATTCTTTGAATGAAAAATAAAGCAAGGCTTGGACGAAGAGAAGGAAACACTTCCAGGTAATTCAGGAATGAAAGAAATGGACAAAGAGCAAAAGCATAAAAGGAACAGACTCTCAGAGAGCAACGTATAAAAAGCCTCGTTATGCATTATCATTCAAATCAGAGGAAAATTCACACAGTTTGATGTCTTCTTGGTTCTACTGACAAGAAAAATAGTTTCTATTCATATATTCATATTCTACAGGAACAGTTACATTCTCCAGTTACACACTTTCCCCTGACGGCAAACCATTTTCAAAAGCAAATCAAAATTAACCATCACTTGACATAACTGACCATTTTAGGTAAAACTGCTTTAGGGTCCTTCACAAAAACTTGTCCATGGCATTTCTCATTTAAAAATAATTTCAAATTTTCATGCAAATAAACCATCAATGTTATTTACACATATAATTTTGCTTCTGCTTTTGTTTTTTTCTTTTATAAACCTATTTTAATTTCCATTGATTTTTTTTTTTACTTTAGTGGGCTTTCATTCAGGCTCTACAAAGAATTAAATTTGAAACTGCCTCATCGAAAATACTAGAATACAAAAATTTGTTGAAAAAGCTTCAAATAGATGGGGTGAAAAAAGCAATGTCAAGCCTTGTCACTAAGATCACCAGTTCTCTACAGTATACAGAATGATTATATTTAAACAGTGATAAAATGCAGCTATTACATGTGTTGCATTTTTCTTCTGCAGGGAATACAAATTGAAAACTTTCAGCGAAAGGAGAATTAGGATTTCTGAGTCCTCCTGAATACTGAAGTTGAAAAGTGAATATGTTGTAAATTTGCTCACTAAATTTTGTGGAGTTAAAAATCAAGGTAATTCAAAAGTTAGTTAAGAGTGGATTTTTCAGGCTATTCTGCTTCCTGTCTCTGTGTGTACACCTGTTTAATCATCACCATACCCATTTTTTGTCATAAACTTGGGATATAAATGGTACATCTTCAGATCTATCATTTTCCAAAGGAGTAGACATTGCATTTTAACTCCTTTTGAGTCTTCTAAAGCAGTTGCTCTTCGAGAAGAAATGCACTTACATTAACCTTCCTATTTCGTGATCTGCATCTGCTTCAGCGTTTTTTTGGTCATAATTTCAGATCAGTTGCTAGCAATTTTTTTCCCCACATAACAACACTGTATTTCTCTCACTAAAAAGTGCCGAAAGTGCATACATATTCATGTTGATTTGGATTACAGCAGCTATTCATGAGATGCAGAAATCATAATTTCTATCATAATTTGAAATATATGACATTCCATGAACCACGAATGAGATAGCACAACCCAGAAGATGGTCTACACTGATTTCTATTTTCAATAACTAGTCTACACTTACTTCCACGGCATGGATGCCGTGAGAAAGAATGGCTTATATGAAGGAAGAAAGTTAGGGGACTAATACAAAACACGATGCTGGCCGCAGCCCGTTATTAGAGACAGCTCCCGGGCGCCTACTGGGGACAGCCAGGGGGGCCCAAAGCGACTTCACCTCCTTCCTTTAGGTCTCTCTTACGGCTCCGGGAGCGACTCAGTGCCGAGTGGTCTGGGGGACTTCGGGGACGGGCGGTGCGGGGCGCGCCCGGCGGGACCCGGCGCAGGGCGGCGGGGGGGACTTACCTGAGCAGAGGCTGCAGGAGGCCAGGGCCAGCAGCACCACGCACAGTAGCTGGGCTCTCATCCTTGCCGCGCCGCCCTCTAGAAAGTAAAGTCCATAAATCCTGAGGAGAGACGGAGAGAGAGACAGACAGACAAACAGAGAGAGCCCCGCCGCTCTGCGCCCTCCGCACGCCTGCTGTCGGGCGGCTGCAGGCACCAGACGGGGGACCCAGACCCTTCCCCAACTATATAAGCCGCGGGGTGATGTCACGGCGGTGCCGCCGTCGCCTCCTGACGAAGATCCCTCCCTCCTCCCCTCATACCCCGTGCCCCCTCCCGCTGCCCCTTCCCCGCCGATCCGCGCCCGCCGGCGCTGACGCCACTGTGCGCCTGACGCACGGCGAGCCCCCGCACCCACCGCCGCGGGGCGCGCCCCGCACGGGCTTTGCCCGAAAGGGAACCATCCTGTGATACGGAACGGTCCCCATTCCATTTTTTTTAATATTATTGTTATTAATAAATTTTAAAAAAAGAAAAAGTTTCCGCAGGTGCTTGGTCCCACGGCGTGGGGCCAGGGGCGGTCCTCGTTCGGTTGACGCCTGATGCGCTTTGTCTGTAGAACCTTTCCCAATAGCAAGGGAAACAACCGGGGAGAGAACCGCACATTGCCAACGGGCAGCGGTGTTAAACCGGGGATGGGCAGGGAACGCCTGACATGGGGCACGGTAGGGATATAACTCTGGCCATGGGCAGGAATGTTGCATGGAAAGTCACTTGATAGAGTCAGTCATAGATTCGAAAAAATCATGATACCCGACCCTATTACTCCTGAAGAGCGCTTGCCACAGCCACCCGCTGCGGTTTCAAGAGAGCGAGCGCTACTAAGAGACATTTCTCTCAAGATGCACTTTTCCCGGATGCTTTTTACACTAGGTATCCTCACTCGACGACCCGCACAGAACAGGCTCCGTGCAGAGCACCTGCAGGTCAGCGCAGGGACCCCAGGTGGAGGCAGGGCGGCGGGGGGGTGGGCGCGGGGTCCCCCCTCCTCCTGCCTCGAGAGGGGCGCGGGCTGAGGGGCGCGGGGTCCCCCGTCTCTCTACCGCACGCCCAGCCCTCCGTGCGAGCCCCGGAGCCGGGCTGTCCTGCCGTCCAGCTCTCAGCTGATGAGCCGTAAAGCCCAGGGAAATGACCCGAAGGTCAGGGCAGGGTAATCTCTTAACGTGTGGGTATAAAAACGTAAAGCTGAAGACTGGCGTCAGCCTCCATTACGCTACTGCTTTTGCTGTGGGTATTTTTTTTTTTTTTTGGTTTGTGTTTTATTTATTTATTTGTTTATTTTTAAATTTTGGTGTGGGGTGGGGGGGGTTTCCCAAATACACACAAATGCTCCATATGTTGAATGCAGATACCACAATGCAGAACATTTCAGTCTCTTTGAATACATTTAAGGGCAGATACACATGGCACACGTAGGCACAAACACACTCCGAGAATAAATTCTTCTGTCGTGGATGTGCTCTTTACCGCAGAAAGGTTCCTTTAAAATTCGAAGAGCAAAGACAGGTGTTGCTTTCTTTCTGCACCCTCTGTGAATGAATAGGTGTCGCAGAAACAGAAAACACACAGAATTTTCAAAATCCTGCCACAAAGAACACATGGCAAGAAAAGTTTAATTAATTGAATTCTTTCATCATTTAATCAACTTCTGCAGCACAACAGAATTTAAATTTAAATGTTGTTTTGGTGCATGGTCAAATGTACACACAGAAATGAAGTTGAGTGCATTGTCATGGTACTAGCTGTTTTAAGAACACATTTTTGCATAGAGTATATCTTTCTGTACTACTGGGAGAGAAATTAAAAACAAACAAAATCCCCCAAACACATTTAGTACATTGTATGGGCTGTGCTAGTCTACCAGAAAGTTTCAGCTATCACTCTTAGCCTTAGCACCGAGGTTAGATTAGCTAGCCACTCATGCTTCCCTCTAGTCCTATTTTCTATTATTTCTGTGATGTAGAAAGACCAATCTGCAGTTGATTTTTCTCTGTGGGTGTTCAAGAGTCCAGAAAGCTCTATGAATGAGAATCATATTTCATAGATATTTTCTAGTGCCTACTCTCTATCATAGATTTCTTCAATAGTCTAATTACACATATCCTTATATAACTGGAATTTAAAGGAATGAATTTTACTTTTTTTTGTCAGGAAGAGAGTAATTTCCATTAATCCTGCCATTAAAATCTCTGATCACCTAATTGTTGCTTTTTCTTTTTTTCTTTTCTTTTTTTTTTTTTTTCCCCATGAGTTAATAATTACTAGTGATTTCAAGAGGATAAATATATGGTATGTTATGAGCCATAATATTTTTTTCATTGCTCTGTTTTCCCTTTTTTTGTTCTTGGAAAATGACAAAGCAGAAACTTCAGTGCTGAAAATCTTTGCTTTCCGACCACACTCTTTTTGACACATTATCTTCAAGTCCCCTGGATTAGGCACAACTGAGCTTGGACAATTACATTTTTTTCGTGGTAGAACTCAACTGTCTTCTGTTTCTCAGATGCTTCTTTACTTACTTTTTCTACCTCTTTCTTACATCTGTATCTTGTACTACTTCACAAAGAACTGCATAATATGAATTTTAGAGAAGCTTTTACAAGGAAAAAAACCAAACTCTTGGCAGATCTCTGTCTCTCTCTCTCTCTCTTTAAACATTCCTAGCTAAAGAGAATATTTATAACTATTCATTAGTGCCAGTTGGTTTGGGAAATTCAGCTTATCTTCACTTGCCCTCAATGTGTAATTTAGATGGCCTGTCCAGGCCTATAAATCAGATCAATTCACAGCTGCGAGGCATCTGAAGATAATGAAACAATCACACAAATGGCAGATTCATGGAAGAACAGATACATGAACCTCTATTTATTTTGTCATAAAACTACCAGAACATATGGATAACACCAAACACAAAAGCTGTAATCACCAAACAGAAAGAGAACCGTTCTGCTAATAATCCTGGAGTAGAAGGAAGTGGAGATTACTATTAGGAATTCTCAGTGTTCCAGGTAGCAGTCTTATGCCTTTGGAATGGAAATAAACACAGTGGCAATGAATGGAAGGCAGTTCAAGATGTTCAATCCTTTCATTAATTATATTAATGTCTAAGAACTTTTTATGGTTTTTAGCCAAACCTATCAGTAGTTCTAGAAGTATGAAAACTTCAAGAGGAATCATTCTGGGGGTGGTAAGCAAGACAAAATTTTGTACAGCAAGCTCACTCACAATCTCAAATTTGAATTTAGTTGTGATGATTAAGCTACTTTGCCCCTACAACAGTTTGACTATCAGCAGCTTAGGTTAATATGCTGCTCAGAAAACTGATGACTCAATTTCTATCATTTCAGGTCAAGGAACAAGCTCAAGCAAAGCAACAGGGCAGATAGGGAAGGGTATTCAAAGTACATTTAAATCATTAAGTCAGACAGTGCAGCTGAATTTCCCAGGCATTGTGAGTTCTCAGCATCTCTTTCTCTGAGCTTAAAAGTAGAATTTTTTTGATCAGGACAGTAATGCTCAAAAATTGATAGTGTATTCAACTGCTGAAAGTCCCAGAGACCACCTTTGCTGCAAAGGATATCAGAAAAGAATTCAAAAGTAAAGGGGAGATGGTGCACCATCATTTTAAAGTAAAACATTAAGCATTTTCCCTACTTCAAATCTAATCTCCTCTAGCCGGTCTGTGACTCATTTTTTTAGATTTGTGAGGTTGTACAATTTAAGGAAACTTTGAGAAGGAAAAAAAACTTAAACACATAAGCAACCACATTATTATCTGAATCAAAAGTATTAATATGCAACAAATTTCTGCAGCATTTTGTAAGAAGTTACAAATCAGCAGAAATTTTTTGGATGTCTAATGATCTCACCCTTTGTGTTTGAAAGTTCTGGGGCCTGAAACTGTGAAGGTGACATTCTGCATAGCCTCTACATGAGATCTACATGCATGGTAGAGGGTTTTTTCTTCATGCTCTGAGATTTTAAACAGCAGCAACATCTCAGTACCCTAAGGAATCATGATTCTCAAATCACAGAAAATTTAAAAAAATCATCTTAACAGAATAATTTGAAGTACCATTTCATCTTTTGAATTAATTTTTTTCCATTAAAGCACAGCCATTAAATTTCCAGAACTGTGAGACTCTCTTAAGTTGTAATGAAAAGACAGACTCTGTATTTCCTTTACTATAGAGCAAACACAGCATGTATGCATCTACACACAAACAGTTAAAACAACTGGAAACACAGACTTTTTTGACATGTATATAACAGTTTGGAAATAGTTTAAGAAAAGTCAATTTGGATAAAAAAGGCCATAGGAAGACAACCTTCACTCCTACTCCTAATTTCAGTTTCTGTTTTATTTTTTTCCCTTTTACTAGAACCCTTCTATGTGAGAACCAGTGCAGTTAGAAGTGCCACCACAGTGTGTCATGGGAGTTATGCTTTGGGCACCTCCTCCTTACCCTCACCTCTCAGTAATTCATTCCTAAGCTAAGCTGCCTCTTTCTCATTTCTCTGATTACACATTTTCCCCAAATTCCTAAGGTAATCGATTTTTCATTTCTCTCCAGTGAGCTATGAATATTTTAATTTAAGTTCCAGGATCTAATATATACAATACACATGGGTGAAAGACCTTATATAACTTTGTTGACTATTACATATTCATGTAATCCTCTGCTCATCAGACTGATAATGTTTTATAATTTTTTGTTAAACAGATGAAGTAGTTAAAAGATGCAAAATTATTATTTTAATACTGTTACTGTTGGACTGATTAGACAACAATGATTATCCATAATTTCTGAAAGAGCAAAATGAAATTGATCTGAATTCAGGGAGTTGACTCTCTTTTCCCCCATAATATTCAGTTTTTGTCTGCAATTATTCTTCAGTGTTCCATGAAACATGGTAACAGAAGGCATACAATATGCATTGTCATATATTACACTGGTACAAGTATGCCCATATAAATAGGAATTAGACTCTACACTGTGAAACTTCTGAAATCACATTTCCTGCCACCTCCATAAATGTCTTAAATAATTGTGCTTTTTCCTTGTACCCAAAAGAGAAATTAACCTTAACTAGTTATTTAAAATCACATAGCCATGAAAAGATTTTGAATTAAAAATACTGAGGAATATTTACTCTGTGCACAGTAAAGAGACAATATGTTATCATTACTGTAAATCAGTGAGACTATGATGAGACCTTCATCTTGACCAGTTACGAGTTCTTCT